TAGGGATATGGTAGGAATCAATGTTGTCAAAACTTAATACCTGCATTAACAACAGATTATAAGGGATGAGAGACTTAACCTTAGGCAATACCCATTAAAAAATCTGATTAAATGTTAGAATTCAATAATAAGATTTTAAATACATAAATAAATGAAATTTACTAATAGTCATGAGGCCTAAAACAAAATGGAAACTTTCTGGATAAAAAGCAGCATTTTTTTCAACCCTTGCGCTGCGAGAAGCACGGCAAGTGTGGATAAATTAGACACGTGCAACACTTGGGTATCTTTGAGGAAACGTTTCGCCACACAGTGGCTTCATCAGTCCTATACAAAGAAAAATGGTAAAGATCAGAAGGAGTTTGAGGTAATCAGTCCACCAGCCTGTAGTCAATACAATCAGTTGTAGATATAGCTCCTAATATGTTGCACCATCTGTGGGCCAGTCCCAGGATGGCTTGTTTCCTCCTTCAAGGGTCCGTGCTTGTAGTGATGCTCTGTCAAGGCTCACTGTGCTGTCCACCATTTTTTAGCCCCCCCTTTCCCCTCTTTTCTTCCTTCCTGTTAGGTAGCTTTGTTTGTGGTACACATGTTTTGCAGTTCATGCTAGAACCCACGCTAGTGCCCTTTTCCCTACAAGAGGGGTTCTTTTTCCATTTTTTTTGTCACGGTCGGGAAAAACTGTACTTTGGCATGTGGGTGTCTTTTTTTCTTGTTTCGGGCGTTTGTTGGGCATTTTCCACCCAGCGGGGCCTATTTCCTAGTAGAAGTATTCACAACACCCTGACTAGTTCTGACTACTGCACTAGACAAGGTACCAGTGGAAAACGGGTTCTACTCTCTTTTTTTTAGGCCACGGCCTGGGAGGGGTAGCGTCCAACCCCACTAAAAGTGGGAAATTTTACAAATAAAAATCTTAAGACTTGCCCCCAAAGAAGTATCTGCCCGGGTTTGGGAACCCCAAAGCCCAATAAACCCCTACATGAGTTTAAAATTGCCAGCCTAACTTTAAAATTGATCTCTGGCACACCCCAAGGGTAAAGTTTACGCAACCCCTAACCCTCACAAGGCGAGGGCCAAAGACTCAACAGAAATTTTTACTATTACACAGTATGCTGCAGACGGCCGACTTGTTGAAAAAAAAAAAAAAATATATATATATATAAAGGCTCCATATATGTCATTTTCCGGGATTTGTACTGAAACCTGATGTGTATTATTCCTGGTCAGTCAGAGTGGTCGGGAGAGGAGAGAGTGAGGTGTTTTTTGTTGAGCAGGTGAAGCACAGCAGATGGAGCAAGTTGTATGTAATTGTGTGAGAAGGTGAGCTGGTGTTTTTTTTTTTTTTTTTTTTGTAAGTTTATACCATCTCTCATGTTTACCTGTAAGGCCCTAGTGTGCAGAGGCCTGTTTAAGTTTAGGGAGTGCTTGTACAGCCTGCAGGTTGAGCAGCCTGCAGAAGGGGGGTGGGGTGTCATAGAGCTCTCTGTTTATAAATATTTGTGTTTTTTTACTCACTAGTAGCAGTGTGCTAGTGAGCTAATGTGAGCACTGGGTAAAGGTGACCTGGAGTGTGGTGATGTTGGCTGTAGTAGAGTGTAGGTTGTATATATTACTTACCTTTTAATATATATTTATATTTTTGTTTAGGAGTTCTTGTGTCCTTCCTTATAATACATTGACCATTTAGATTTATCCTTCATACCTTGTATGAAGGTACAAGCTGGCCCTAGAGTGGTTTCTTTTTCTATTTTTAAATATAAATGTGCCTAGACAGGCAGGTCTTTTACCCTTTATGAGACAGGACTTTATTTATGTTACGCAGTCAAGAAGTCGTAACATGTACATGGATGAATGTCTAGTTACAGACCAGCATGGTCTGGAAGATAGCCCACTGACCTGTGAGTTTGAAGACTGACTCATACCCCACCTGTTCTGTTACTGGTTATATTATGAAAGGACAGACCATAACATTAAAAAATAACATACATTTTCAACGGAGACTATTTAACATACATTAATGCAAAAGAGGCTACTTAGCCCACTAAAATGTTTCTCAAAATAAAATATAATAAAGCTGAAAATTTTCAATTGATCAAAAAAAAAAAAAAAAAAAAAAAAAAAAAAAAAACTGAGTTATGGCATGAAATACATTGATTCCAAGAGTTTTAACTATATTACAATGTAGTACATTTGCACCTATGAAGCCTGAACACACAAGGTATCAGCCATCTCATAAAATGATAAGCATTAAAGGTTACAAGCCGACTAGACGAAGCATTCGGCGGTTACTGAATGAAAATCACTATTAAAAGTTATTTAATAAAACAGACAAAGTCAGTAACACAATTTTTCCAATGAGCAAAACACAGCCCTGCTAAAAGTTTGAAGCTGACAGGAAGAAGCATTCTGAATACACACAACTGTGGCAGCAACACACACTACTGTAGCAGCAGCAACACACACACACACACACACACACACTACTGTAGCTGCAGCAAAACACACACACACACACACACACACACACAATAATATATCAGGCCCATACTGGAGTATGCAGCACCAATTTGGAGTCCACACCTGGTCAAGCATGTCAAGAAATTAGAGAAAGTGCAAAGGTTTGCAACAAGACTAGTCCCAGAGCTAAGGGTTATGTCCTATGAAGAAAGGTTAAGAGAAATTGGCCTGACGACACTGGAGGACAGGAGGGTCAGGGGAGACATGATAACATATAAAATACTGTGCAGAATAGACAATATGGACAAAGACAGGATGTTCCAGAGATGGGACACAGAAACAAGGGGTCACAATTGGAAGTTGAAGACTCAGATGAGTCGAAGGGATGTTAGGAAGTATTTCTTCAGTCCGAGTTGTCAGGCAGTGGAAAAGCCTAAAAAGTGACGTAGTGGAGGAGGGAACCATAAATAGTTTTAAGACGAAGTTTGATAAAGCTCATGCAGCAGGGAGAGCGAACCTAGTAGCAATCAGTGAAGAGGCAGGGCCAGGAGCTATGAGCCGACCCCTGCAACCACAAATAGGCAAGTACAAATAGGTGAGTACACACACACATGCATTACTGTAGCAGCAACACACACACACACACACACACTACAGTAGCAGCAACACACACACACACACACACACACTACAGTAGCAGCAAAACACACACTCACATCTCAGTAGTATCAGTTACCAGTAGTATCAGTTACCAGTAGTATCAATTACCAGTAGTATCAACTACCAGTAGTGTTAGTAGTAATGACTCATCCAACTGTAACTGATTCAATGCCTCCTGTGTGAATCACTGATTTATATCACTGACCATTACTGCTGACCTAGAATTATTTGAAGCCGCTCGCCCTCCGAGGCACTCAGCATGCCAGTTCAATTAGAGATGTTAGGGCAGACAGCAGGTCAGGCATGGGCACTCCCCATGTATTCCATCTAATATACTAGAACATCCAACATGAGTGTTTATTACCCAATCCATGTTTCAAACCCCACACGACACACACACAACACATACCACACACACACAACACATACCACACACACACACACACACACACACACCACACACACACACACACACACACACACACACACAGTGACCTTGATACCTCAAAGGTGGTGGGACCAGACAACATCTCTCCGAGGGTCCTTAGAGAGGGAGCAGACATATTGCATGTGCCACTAACCACAATCTTCAACACATCCCTTGAAAGTGGGCAACTACCTGAGGTATGGAAGATGGAAAATGTGATCCCCATCTTTAAGAAAGGGGACAGAAACAAAGCACTAAACTATAGACTGGTGTCACTGACGTGTTATGCAAAGTTATGGAGACGATTATCAGGAGTGGTGGAGCACCTGGAACGGAACAAGGTTATAAACGACAGCCAGCACGGATTCATGGAAGGCAAATCCTGTGTCATAAACCTACTGGACTTTTATGACAAGGTAACTGAAGTAAGACATGAGAAGGAAGGATGGGTTGTTTACATTTTCTTGGACTGCAAGAAGGCCTTCGACACAGTTCCTCACACACAAGATTAGTGCAGAAGCTAGAGGATCAGGCACTTATAACAGGAAGGGCACTGCAATGGATCAGAGAATACCTGAAAGGGAGGCAACAGCAAGTCATGGTACGTGAGGAGGTATCACAGTTGGCACCTGTGATGAGTGGGGTCCCACAGGGGTCAGACCTAGGACCAGTGCTATTCTTGGTATATGTGAATAACATGATGGAAGGAATAGACTCAGAAGTGTCCTTATTTGCAGATGATGTGAAGTTAATGAGGAAAATTAAATCAGATATGGACCAGACAGGTCTAGAAAGAGAAACGGACAGGCTGGACGCATGGTCCAGCAACTGGCTCCTAGAATTTAACCCTGGCGAATGCAAAGTCATGAAGATCGGGGAAGGGCAAAGAAGACTGCAGACAGAGCATAGGTTAGGTGGCCAAAGACTGCAAACCTCACTCAACAAACACCACACACACACACACAACACACACACACACACACACACACACACCACACACACATTACTGTACGAGCACACACACACACACACACACATTACTGTACGAGCAACACACACACACACACATTACTGTATCAGCAACACACACACACACACACACACACACACACACACAAAAAATTACTGTATCAGCAACACACACATTACTGTATCAGCAACACACACACACACACATTACTGTACCAGCAACACACACACACACACATTACTGTACCAGCAACACACACACACATTACTGTACCAGCAACACACACACACACAACACACACACACACACACACACACACACACACACACACACACACATTACTGTACCAGCAACACACACACACACACACATTACTGTACCAGCAAAACACACACATTACTGTACGAGCAATATACAATTATCAAGGCAGCAGAAACAAGCAACACTGAAATGAGACACAGTAGAAGTTCACTGTTTACAATACTAAACACAATTCACTTAGTACTTGCCTTCCGCCTCAAAGAGATGCTTAATAGCGTCCACTCGGAAGCCATCCACGCCTTTGTTTATCCAGAAGAGCAATACATTCTGAACACAACCCAGAGATATAACAGTTAAAATAATATTTCTGAATAAGGTAAATGAACAGGGTGGAAATGGTTGGTTTACCTGCCTAGGAGGAGCAGTAGACATGTTGCAGTGTTCCTCCATTCTTATGATAAAGATAAATACATCAATGGTAAGTAAGACACATAGGCAACATTTAGGCATCTTTATTCCGAAACTTTTCGAAATAAAGATGACTAAATGTTGCCTGTGTTCCTTACTAACTTGTTGGTATTGTATACCACTTTGATATTCACTCAAATACATTGGATTTGTGTGTGTATAACATTATATATATGTATATACAGTGGACCTTCGGTTATCAGCTGTAATCTGTTCCAGAAGGTCGGCCGAAACACAAAACAATATTTCCCATAAGAATTAATGTAAATACAATTAATCCCTTCCAGATAAAAATATTCACAAAAAAATAATTTTTTTAACAATTATATAAATATTACATACCTTTATTGAAGGCTAATGCTGGCTTCTGGAAGATAGGGAGGACTAAAGAGGGAGGAGTTAGTATTTGGAAGAGAATCCCCCTCCATAAAGACTTTAGGTAGCAAAGCCTTCTCTGGGGTTACTTCCCTTCTTTATCTTTTATTGCCACTAGGACCAGCTTGAGTCACTGGACCCCTGTCTCACAAAATAACTGTCCAGAGTGCTCTGTTTCTGGTGTCTCTAAGATTTCCCTGAAGTAGGACAGGGTTTTGTCACTAAACATGTTGCAGATATGGCTTGTTTCAGCTTTGTCAGGGTGGTACTTCGACAAAACTTTGCACATCATTCCACTTTGCACAACTGTTCTTAACCCGTAAACGGTTCAAACGTATATATACATTCTTACTGCTAGTGCCCCAAACGTATATAAATGTTCTATTTTTCCTGCCTTCAAATATGGCACGACTGGCCCAAGATGCCTTGTCAGCACAGAATGGGACATAACACTCAGTGTGCACTGTATTAAAAAAATCTGGGACCACTTAGTACCTTGTGGGAGCACCAGTTTAAATGAGCTCCATCTAGAGCAAACAGCACAGCAAACACCTGGGATTCACTGATTTCATGTAGTATTAACTCTCCCATTTTAAGAGGAAAGTGATGCTGACCCCGAGTTTAGTGGCTTTGAGGTGGATGTGGCCATAAGTGGTCGAGGAAATATCAAAAAACCTAGATAATAACCCATGCACAACATTTGTGCAACACACTTTCAGAATGTCTTATAACCTAAGCCCTACGTAAAGAGAAACAATACTGGAATGTAATACTTGTTCAGTAGGCTGGTTGGCTGGCTGAGTTAAGGTAGAGGATGAGTTGTCACCTGACCAGAGGGTCAGTGCTATTTCTACCAGGAAGACCTCATCCACTTCACTGGATCAATCCGTTCCACCAGTAGAGGAGAAAGACTTAGCTCCCACTGACTTCCCAGACGAGGTCAAGCGTTTGTTGACTATTGAACAAACATCGTAAAGCCATTGCCTTACCAGGTGAGAAGATAGGTATAACGAACTTATTGTCCCATCGTATCCCACTTGAACCTGGTACTAGACCTATCTATATACCTGCGTACAGAATGCCTCATTCACAAGTTGCTGTCGCAGAAGAAATGATCAATCAAATGCTTGATGATGGAGTTATTGCACCTAGCAATTCACCTTGGAATGCGCCCTTGATCCTAGTACCTAAGAAGGATGGTACTTGGCGCCCAGTGATTGACTTTAGGAAGTTAAATGCGAAAACTATTCCAGATCGCTTTCCACTTCCTGTACTTGGTGATCTTTTATGTAACATCAAAGATAGTCTTTTCGACCCTGGACTTGTTACAAGGGTTTTGGCAAGTCCCTCTTCACGAGGACAGCCAAGAGCTAACTGCATTCTCCACTCCTACAGGTCATTATCACTTCCTCCATATGGCCTTTGGATTACGATCCTCCCCTATCACGTTCTCAAGGCTCATGACTAATATCTTTAGAGGTCTCATAGGTAATGCAATTATGGTGCACTTAGATGACGTAATCATCATGTCTAAAGACGTGGATACACACTTGAAAAGACTTGATGTAGTACTTGGTAAGCTTGAAGAAGCCAATTTAAAGATCAAACTGTCAAAATGTAAATTTTTTCAGATCAGAAATCAAGTTTCGGGGTCAGTATGATCCTTAGAGGGGTTACAACTGCCCAAAAGAAAAAGTAACTGCAGTACTAAATTTTCCAACTCCCAAATTTGCTGATGCCATAAGATCCTTTGTGGGCTTAGCAGATTTTTATAGATCTTTCATTGCCAATTTTTTTTCCATAGCTGCTCTTCTGAGTTGTTTAAGAAAGATGCTCCTTTCGTTTGGACCTTTCCGTAAAGAAAGAGCATTCCAAACTCTAAAAGAAAAGCAAAACATCTGCTCCAATTTTGAAATTTCCAGATTTTTCTAACCCCTTCTAAACTGACAACTGATGCTAGTTCTATTGGCATAGGTGCCATACTAGCTCAGAAGACTGATGGCAAGTACAACGCATTTGCATTTGCTAGCCGAGTCCTTATAAAGGGCTGAACGTAATTATACAGTAACTGAGCAAGAAGCTTTGCAATAGTATGGTCTTTAAAACACTTCCGAGACATTATTTATCAGTACCCTGTTCATGTCTTGACAGACCATGCTCCACTGATACCTTTATTCCAGAACAACAACCTACTGGAAGGTTAGCGAGATGGACCTTGACTATCCAAGAGTTCAATCCTACCTTTGAACACTTACCTGGCAAGTCAAATGTAGTCGCAGATGCTTTATCGTGACATGTAAGCATAGTAACTGCAGACCCTCCATTTACTGCCAAGGATGTAAAGAATGCTCAATGAACAGATCCCATGTGGTCTGGTGTGATTCAATTCCTGCTCCAGGAAGATCTTATTCTGACTGTGAAGCCACCAGCACCCATCAGTGACTTTGTCATGAACCAAGAATTACTGTATCAAACAGCCGAGTTGGGTACTCCTAGCAGAAGAGTATACCAGTTAGTAATTCCACAGCCACTAGTGAATGTAGCCTTACAGCTAGTTCGATTCATACCAGGGTGCACAACACCTGGTACATCGTGTTCAGTAAAACAAGCCAGATTGAAATACTTTTGGCCTCGTATGTTAAGAAATGTAATGTCTGCATGCAACATAAAGGTAAGTAATGGCCCAAAATCCAATCCAGTGTATCCAAACTAGCGAACCGTGGGAAAGGGGTTGCGCTAGATTTGTTAACTAATTTCCAATGTTCCCTCCAGGGTAACAAACATCTGTGTGTTATGGTAGACCATTTCACCGATATTACAAAGTTAGTTCCAATTGCAGATAAGACTGCCGAACAGTAGCTAAAGCTTTTAAAAGAACGCATTATCGGCAGGCATACCACCCCTAAGTCCTTTAGTAACAGATAATGGAGGTGAATTCTGTAAGAGATTCTTGAAAATTTGTGTACCTTGTACAAGATCTCTAAATCCACCATTGTTCCTCATCACCTGCCGCAATGGGTTAGCAGAACGAACCAGTAAGAAAGTATTGATGTCTTGAGAGCACTGTCAATCCCAACAGTGAAACTTGGGATGAAGTTTACCTGATGTTCAGTGTGCCAAAATTCTGCTTTTCAAACTTTTTATAGGGGACACTCCACATTTGCATGGTACGGTGTAGATAAACGTTTGCCTTATGAGTTGCTATATTCTAATCCGAAACCAAATTACAACCCTGATGATTTCATAGCAACTCGTACCAGCTTAGCTCAAAGTCTCTTTAGAAAAATCCGTAAAACACTTCATAAATCATCAGCAGAATTTACAGGAGTCGCAAACACTCGAGCAAAGCAGTCCAAAATCAAAGCAGGTTCGAGAGTTATGCTGACTAACTTTAACAAAACGTCTGCAATGCCTAAGCTTGATCAAAAGTTTGTTTGGGCCTTATCGAGTAGTTGAACATATCCCAAAGGCATAAGTATAAGGTTAGAGAAATTAGTACTGGTCAGTAAAGCGGTACATTTTGATCATATGAATTGTATGTGATGATAATGATGTTCCAACCCCAGACTAATGTGACAGACTGACAATCCTCTGATCTGTACCCTCTACCTCTAATACTCAGTCAGATGATCAGCCTGAACGTCGTTTTTTCCCCACGTACATGACAGGTATTTAGAAATCCCCAAGTATCATTTGTAAACTACCAATTCAGAGCTGCCTCAAATACGCACTAGGGTTTGCCAGTGCAACAGAGTTTGATTCTCCCCGAGATTGACACCCATTCTGCATTGTCAATCTCATCCCAGCAGAGTTGGGGTTAAATGTAAAAAACCCGTATAGATGAAAAATTACAGTATCAACTTATTAATAATCAAGAAATTTTTTTTTGTGGTTCACGTTCTCTCCAAATTCGAGATTTAACAGTCTAGTTTGAGTGCAGCAAGTCTGCCTTTTCTGTTAACCATTCTTTCTTTGTACATACCCTTCCTCAGAATCCGTAGATCACAAAGAATACCAATCGATCGATCAAATTTTTTTTTTATAGCACCCCTATTGTGTAATCCCAATGTTGAGTCATTGATGGGGTTGTGCTTTTCATACTTGTTAAAGCATTACAGTTTCATTAAGTCAATTACGTTAGCTTCCATTCCAATATTAATTATGTATGTTATAATGTTCAACTGTTGTGTAATTTGACATTGTATTAGAATCAGCCCAAGCCCTACGTCTGCTGTCTCTAGTTTGTTAGCTGTACATCGGGACATACATTAGCGTCGCCCAGCTCTCAGTAGTATCAATCCCAGTAGTTCCAGTAACCACTTACCAGTAGTATGATCACTACCCAAACCATCTGTGTGAATCACTGACTGTTATTCATGTTGCTGCTGACCATAGCATGTTTTTGAACGCCGCTCACCCCTAGGACCCAAATTTGTGAGTCAGTCTTAGGTTACAAGAAGCAGGGCCCGGTGTGGTGCTCCCCA